TGTGATGGATATATTACATGTACCAATATTTGATCGACTTTTATCTTTATAAATCACGAGACATTTCTGTTTGTTTCACACTCATCCATTATGCAAACGAAATGGGAAAATTTAAAACATTCTTATGTGCCTCCTCGTAGCCTACAGTTTACTGACGTTTCTTCCTATGCATTGTGGGTATATTCGTTTCGTTTTAGATATTTTATATGCTTCCGCTTTTTATGTAAACCCGTTCTTGTCACCACAAACGATTCACCGTTTGTAAGCGTCATCCGTAGCACTTCCGTACCGTTTGCGTAACACTTCCGTACCGTTTGCGTAGCACTTGCGTACCATTTCCGTACCGTTTGCGTAGCACTTGCGTACCATTTCCGTACCATTTGCGTAGCACTTCCGTACCGTTTGCGTAGCACTTCCGTACCGTTTGCGTCCAAGGTGGAACAGCGAACGTGTACGGGTCTGTATATTAAAATTGTAACTCGAGTGTGATTATGTTTTTAGCGCTATAGTATCAATGTTCGGTGCCGCTCACAAACAATTGAGCGAATCCTAAAAACACCACGCATCGATAGCTAGCACAGAGTCTGTGACAGACAAGGACTGTGTACTCTGACAAGGAATATCAGAGGTTATCGAGTCCATCATTTGTGTTTTAGCAAAGATATCACGAAGTGAAGCCTTAGCTAAGTCACATAAGTATTTGTCTGACTGGAACAATCGATAGAAGCAGGAAAGGCTGCTATGTTTTTCTTCCTTGTGACATAGTTCGTTTTTATGTATTTATAATCATCTACGTGTCTTACATGGCCGAACAGTTGAATATACGTGCACGGCCAATGTGATTACCTGCACGAATGTTTGGCGATCTAAATTCTAATTCGACTTCTTAAAATGAAACCTCACATCAGTTCCTCTTGAGATATAACAAAATTATGGAATATTAGATCAAAAGGGCTGGTATGATTTTCAAATTTATATTTAGTAAATAAAATGATTTATTTATTTATATCCAAGCATTTCACAAAAACAAAATAAGTTAAAGCAAAACAGTATTTACAGAGATCAAAAACACCAAACAGACACACATGTAAAATATCCTGTCTTCTTTATTATAACATGTAGTTTCCATTATGAGTGACATCAACCTTTTACATCACAACCTAACATATATGATCTGGTGCAATGACGTAGGAATACAATTTCGACCTGGAAACCAGAACATAGAACAGAATATATAGTTTAAACAGATACGGTTCACTCTTACATCTTTTAACTTGTTATTTGTGTCCAAGCAACAGAGGAACGAGCCGAGACGAAGTAGTCCTTGTTCGTCTCCTTGTGCTTTTCATACATAAACCATTGTTACGATGTATTTATTAAAACTTGCCGACATGCCGCAATGTATAGTATGTCACGAAAGATTTAGAGTTATATCACCATAGACACTTTCAATATTGAAGTTTGTATTTTACCTTTTCGGTTTTTTGACGTCATTCTCATTTTACTTTTGATTGTATCGACCATTTCTTGGCCCTATTTACATCTCCTGTGTTGATGGGCTGTTTAGCACGTAATAATATAAAACATAAAATTTGTATACGCCGATTTATACGCTTTGTCTTTGGTTTGGTTTTATATTTTTTAACGTCCTGTTAACAACTAAGGTCATTTAAGGACGGCCTCCCCTGTGTGCAAGATGCATGCGTGTAGAGTATGTGTGTGTTTTTTGGGAGGCTGCGATATGTTCGTGTTTGTCTCCTTGTGATAGCGCGAAACTGATGCCGACTTTATAGTGCTACCTCACTGAAACATACTGTTGACGACACCCAGCAGGACACCCCACCCGGTCACATTATACTGACAACGGGCGAACCAGTCGTCCCATTCATTATTTGCTGAGTGTTAAGCAGGAGTAGAAACTACCATTTTTAAAGACTTTGGTATGTCTCGGCCAGTGGTCAGAACCCAAAGCCTTCCTCACAGGGGCGAACGCGCTCAACATGTGGCCAAAAGTGAGGCATTGTCAAGGGAGACACACGTGTAAGGAAGAAGAAAGTGATTTAGAAAGGAGAGGAGAGATAAGGTCCCAAATTTAGTCGCCTCTTACGATCATGCAATTGGTGGCAGCAGGTACAATTCTTACGCCCTACCTGCAGATTTATACACAGCCATAGTTTACTAAGCTGAAGAAAGGAGAGATGTAACTATAGGTCCCGTGTAATCGGTAGTATATTGACCAATCATTACGGTATTTTCTATTAACTGCCGAAGAAATCTGTTCAGCTGTAAGTGAAGAAACGGTTTGGTTTTTTTGGTCTTAGGTACACCATTAATACTTACAAAGTTGATTATATTTTTGTAAGCAATACCTAACGGAAAATAACAGAATTGCGTACAGTAGATCCTTTAAAATGGCGCACAACTGTGTTGTCAATTCTGACGACATCAGAAAACATGTATATGGCTTCAAATAGAACGCTTCTCATTCCTGCACATTTTTGCCGTAGCAATATTTTTGTCGTTTTACTTTAATAAAATACATGTAATAACTAGAAAACGTAATGGGTTTCTCCTTAGAGGCAATTATTGTATTTCACTCGTAATCAAAAGAAACATTATTTATGTTTTAATGCTTTATATTAATACTTTAATTGTGATGATATTTCAGTAGCAAGCTTGGTAGTTTGGTTTTTATGGGTTCGACGCTAAGCAGCAGAACTAGAGTCTTTAGAGTTTCTTTTTGTTTTTATATTAGTTTGTCTTGAAAATCCTATTCTTTTTGTACGTCCCTTGATTATATGTTTAGCACAAATGATAAATTGTTGAAAATTGTTTACAAAACTGGAAAAACCGTAAATACTTAAAAGCTATGACAAAATATTGTGTTTGCTTCAAAAACATTTATTTCAAACAGACCACACACGCCAATGCTTTATCGTTTTCGTACGGTGGACACTTCAGTGACCCGCATCTCGTCCGAACCTGATGGAAGACCTTCCCATTGTCGTTAGTGGTTCCGCCTCCTGCCAGGGCCTGTGCATTCTCGTCTACACATACGTATTGGGTTGCTGCCTTGCTGTCGTAATAGCCACCGGCTAGATCCCCGACGTATGCTTTATCCCAGCCAGAGTAGCATTGGGTCCGAGCCGGAATCATGATTGATGTTGAGTGGGTTGAGCTACGGCACACTGCACAGGGTACGTCTTCATAAGTGTTTGGCACATTAAAGAGAAGCGTATCTTCATACTCTGCGCCGTACATTAGTGCTGGATAGTAGCTACGTATGTCTTTGTTTGGTCCCCATATTGGATCAGCAGGTAAACAGGTGTACTCTGCCGCCGCACCGTAGTGGTCATACCATGACCCACCAGCGTAACCTGTTCAACAGACAGTAGAACACCAATTTAAAATACAGCACGAAAAGTCCACAACATAAGCTTATAAGCTGTTGTTTTTTTAACAAAATCTGAACTAAAACACAAAATTATGGACCAAAGACATATTTGACAAAATAGAGATAACTGTTAACCTCTAGATCTATGTGATATAACCTACAAATCCTGCACGAATCCACCACAACATCAACTTATAAATGGTTGATCATTAGGAAAATCTGAACTAAAAAAAAAAACCTATCTACCCTAGACATATTTATGAACGTAAAAGACATCGTCAACCCTTGAACTATTTCATATAACCTACTGTAAACTTGACATATCATATTATCTTATATCTTGTATTCACCTGTATAAACGAGCTCCGTTCCATTTCCAGGACAATCCGTTCTGCCCCAACGAACATAAACTGTACCTCTCGTAGCAACTGTAAAGGCAAGATAAAATGTAGGTCACCGAGTCCGAAATTCAAAGATAAACATTTACTTGTTCTACATTGAGTGTACTTGTTCATTTGTAAAATGATTAAAACCTACAGTCTTTTATTTTATATAATAAACTAAAATAATATGGCACCAGTTTTATAAAAGTTTATTGAATAAAGGACATTTTATAATTTGCTTAAGTTAAGAAAATATTTCATAATTAAGGTGTTTTCCTCTGTTTCAACGAATGTGTTACACAGTTACACAACTTAGTTGAGTAATTAAATGTATTATTCCCAAATCCTTTACTGATATAAATAGTGATACTCATTGTAAGGAAATCAAAGCAACGCTAATACTGTAAATGATAACATATATATGTCAGTAACGTTGAAAACGACTTCGACTTCTCAAAAATATTATAGCATTACTTTTTGGGAGTTGCTGTTCTAATTGCTGATTGGTTGATTTAAGGGTATCTACTTCCGATTGGAGTGTGTCAACTTGACTCTTCACCACTTCATATTCCTGAAGCTTGACTTGAATTTCATGCAGTTCATTCTGTAGATAGTTCGGGTCTGACAACAGAATTCGTCTGTGTCTGTGAATCTCCAATGCACTATTGGAACAAAGGACCCAGCATAATAACCCCACGAAGTAAACGTATGCCGAGAACATACCGACGTTGTACTTGTCTGTACTGGTTCCCGTGGCTGTGATGATTTGGTGGCAGCGCGCACTTAAAGACCCGATTGTTATCCCGATTGTTATCTTATCTGTCTAGGTATAGAAACAATATGGGTCATGCTAAAGAGAGTGACAAGTTGGTCTAAATTAAAACTCGAACGAAGACAGACCTTGTTAACACTTTTAGTGTCTATTATCTGTTAAATAACCAAGAGAAGACCCATATCCGAGTCATTATGAACGGATGGCAAAACGCCTGTAGGCATCTGCCGTTTATGATATTAGTAGGCGAGTTATAACGTCTATTCAATAAATATCTGCTCCGTACTATTAATAAAATCTTTTTTCCCCTCAATCTTTCTATAATTTTAACTAATTTGCTTACTGCAACGAACAGGATACTTAATTTTCATTTCATTACAGATTTTATTATCTCTTTTATAAAGATATATTTACTGGCACATATTTAGAAATCATACCTGGTATCAACTACTTATAAACTGTTATCAGTTAATCATACCTAGTATCAACTACTTATAAACTGTTATCAGTTAATCATACCTAGCATCAACTACTTATAAACTGTTATCAGTTAATATCTTTTATGCGAAAAATGATGTCTGTCTGTCTATATATACTATATTCCGTCTTTGCGTATTGCAGAGTTATCTTCTCTTGTGAACAGGTATTGATTATTACGTCATTTGTTTGTGAGAGTAACGTCATCAATTTTTGAGTAAACGACGTAATTTTCTCACACAAATCAATGTCGTAACAATAAATACCTGCTTACAAGAGAAGATAACTCTGCAATACGCAAAGACGGAATAGTTTAAACTTAATGTTCCTTATCTGTGTTTGTTACGTGTTTAATAAATCATGTCTGTACATATCATATCTTCTGTGATTTCTAAGTTAAGAACGATGGGCCAAAATTTAAGCCGTTTCACGACAAAAAACCATTACGTTGGTACATAAAGGCATTGATGACGAGCACTCACTCGAACGGATAATAGCTTAAAAATGATTTTGTAATTACTTGGTGGACCTATCAATTCGTTAATGAATATAACCCACGAAATCAGCAATATTTGAGAGTGATTTCACGGTATGTGCATACATGATAATTTCTATTCCTTGTCTCATCAATCGGTCATTGCCTTGCACAATATGAATAATTTTTTTTGACGATTCTTTTAAGATTTCTAGCAATGTATTTCGTTTTTTAACTTAACTACTGCTGACACGCTCAGGTGAAAGTTAATGAATTTCGCGGAATGTACGAAATAGATAAGCCTTCCATATATTGCCTGTAAGCGAAGAGTTGTATTACATATTTTAATATCTCAAATAGGAAGTTCAGTAGGCGTTGAGAACAAATGACATCTCCGTTAACGTCGTTATCTATGCTATGTCATTCAGCACTGAGATGAGGATTGTTTTTTCACGAGGAATACTTATAGGATGTAAACATGGAATTGCTATTGATCGCAGTACATATACATACTTCAGCATTTGTGAGGTTTCCCATTAAGCCTGCTCATACAAATGCGTCTATAATACCTTACGAGCACAAAGAGTAAACTAAACAGAAATCATAAAAAGTGAAATGGTTTCTGTATATTGTACATTCAAATAAGAATGAAAAAATTACTGATGCCAAAAAGGATGGGTTAACTAAATCCCTGTTATTTCTACCGTTACGTATATCCTAACGAAAGTCACCAATCCAACAGCTCCACAGTCAGGTCTGGCATGTTAAGCTGTTGGAGAATGGAGAGGGATGGCACCATTGTGGAGAGGAGATGGTGTCTAAAATGAACTGGATTTTTAAGCGTGGAGACCTTGTGTCGTTTTATGACTCAAGACGACCCCCACGTTCCCTCCACACTGTCCAATGGTGGGGGTAGCGGTGTAGTATGGAGTCATGTCCCACCGTGGAGTACTGGTTGGGGACTGAACGTGAGGTCACGGTGGCGGGCAAAATAAACACAACCGCGAAACGTGGGGAACGTATGCCTCCACGCGGTGTGTAGTGTACCTGGGTTATACATTAAAGAAATCCCGATTCAATTTCAAGCCGTCAATTCCAGTTAATGTGGACTTAATCGGATACGGACTTGTGCTTTGTCAGATATGTCATAGCAGAAATATAAATACGTAACAAATCATTAAAGTAATCCATGGAAAACAGTATTCGAAAAACATATAATATTTCTGTTACAACGAGATAATCAGATCTTTTTTGAAGAGTTCATGATATCTTTCTGTTGTTGATGCCGGCTTGAATCCTGTCCTTTTGTATTGCTTTTTGGTTTGGATCTTATTCTCGTATGTTGAATGTGGTTAAACGTTTGTTTGTTTTTAATCTTACTATCTTAAATAATCAAAATGCCCTGATAATGCGAATTATTCTGGATATTTACATTGTCTTCGATAATTACCTTGTTCTCAATAACCCCGTTGCTATCGATAATAATACAACTGCTCTCTATAATCAATTGCTCCTCTATTATGGCTTCGCTCCTTACACCAGATTACTCTTTTCCTGATAGTTTTGAAGATTGTTGAAAATTCTACGACTCGCTACAACCTTAGACCATATCCGTCATCATAACCTTTAACGGGAAAATTCACGATACGAACAATGTCGGAGGGCTTCTAATCGGTCGATCATTGTACCACAGTGTGATTAACAGGGATAATGACAGTTTGTCGCGACGGCACTCTTCGTATATACATCATAAACGTAAGTCATATATGGCCATGTAATGCTCAATCTTAATATGCTATAAATAAGATCGGAAATGAAGTGAAGTGTCCACATTGACGGAACTAACGGGTACTACACAGCTAATGTAACGACCAATAAACACGTTCATGGTTTCCTCTCATAGCCCACACACAGCAATATCATCACCAGAACACCACATACTCAGTTTTACTTCAGAGAGAACGATGGACCACATGTAATTATCATTAATAAAAAAAAGTAAATTTCTATTACCAGCACTTGAATTAAATACAACATCCTTTTCAAAACAAACGACATAAATTATTTTATAAAATCGTACGACAGCATTGATACTGTTTTTGTGTACCTTATACACTTATTGTTCATGCTATGTAACGGCAGCAGTGCAAAATTGAAGATATGTAATGGAATATACGACCAATGAACACTACAATGACGTCACAATTCCATAGCATTCACATGGCTTCATGCTTTTTTGCAGGTTGATGCTGAATTGTTTTATTGCCATTATGCAATCACACTTTTTTTAGAGGATGGAGGAGGGAAGTTTTTGTTTACGCTGTCCCATAATTACGTCATATGTTGCCGCTTTTCTGCTGTCTTGTTTTTTATTATGAGCTTACAATGTGTCTTTTTGTAATGTGTCGACGCTGTTATTTTTTCCCTAAGTTGTTACAGCAAGTTTACTTTTGTCATTATCATGTATGCCTTGACGTGAACATTTTTTATTATTTTGTTGACCTTTTGTTATTTGTGTCTTCATGTGCTAACGCAATGGTATATTTTGTTATTTTTGTTTGACATTAGAAACTCTTTTTCATAATTGTTGACGCTCTGATTGTTTTGCTATTACGTGTTAACTTCCGTATTTTCTTGTATTTGTACTTTGAAATACATACGTATGTACTTATCATTGACATCTTATTGATTTTGGTCTTTCATATCAAAATAAATAAATGATTATACATCAATTACCTTAATTATTTATCTAATGCACAATTTATGATACTCACTCGTTTTGTAATGTACATACAAGCCACCTTTGAAATAATGGCAAAGGCAGCTAGTATTACTTTTGTTCTTCGTACCATATCTGATTTCAAATTTGACTGAAACAATTTGATAAATAAAATGGGGGGTTTTGTGGGGTTTTATTAGTGTTTTTTTTAAATTCTTCTGGTTTTCTTCTAATCATGGATCAAATATTGGAATAAACTCCCTTTTCACATCATGCATACTTTTCCATATAACCAGTTTAGACTCAAAAGTGCATTATTTCCCGAACTCTCCGACTCGCTGTAGCCGAGGGGATCCAAATCCTTAAGAATACCCATTTGTATGTACGCAGGTGTAGACAAACCTATGATTTTAAACTCATTTGCAGGAAATTGGTAATACATTACCGCAAGCCTAGTTTTGATGTCTACATTTGAATCTTTATTTTTTTATCTTGGCACCGTGACTTCAGGTTTTTTGTTTGGTATGTCTTCCTCGCTTAACAATCGATTTCAGACTGACTTTATATTGTAATTAGTGCATAAGGTACCTATGCACTCTGTGACATTATTGTCTATGTAACACATCCTTGTTAGGGTAACAGTGGCCTCTTCCAAAACGTTTCTTTTACTTTTTTGTTTAACTGTGTACATTTATGAAACAAAAAAAGGAATACGTTAGTAAGCCCTTTAATTTACCGTTCAGATATATCGAAGATATGCTACCTTAAAATGACAAGAACCTTATTGACTGCTTTGATCGTAAATAACCTCATGAAATCAAAGGACAATACAATCTCTATTTCATCCGCTTTCCATAGTCTTTACTTAACTAATGACAGACAGCGACGGCTTTCAACTCAGTTATACAACAAGTGGGACGATTTTGATTTTTAGATCGTGAACTTTCAATTTCTTAGCAGTATCATACCGACTTCCCAACGTATGGTGCTTACGAATCGCAGTTGATTCGAAATTTAAGAGCTTGCTCCGAATATCATGATTGCTGTGATAGATTTCGACTGCTGACGGACAAACTTAGAAAACATGGTTTTCGGAAAATGCTTTATCTTTGTGTGGTAGAAGGCGATGTTTTCATTTGTGCTAATTAGTGCGCCTTGTTGTTTCGTTGCAATCTTCCCGTTTCATTACACTTTGGGGATGTTAAATTTGATATAGGTTAACATGGCGAGTGTCGTCGATAAAGCAGAAAACGTTTAACCTTCCGGAACACCTGGCGCTACGTGCATTGTATCTTTTCAAGGGTCTCCGTGTATAACTTTCCTTTGTTC